AGTTTTGGAACTATATCTTTGTGTTTTTATTTGGTGTTTCTTTAACATTCACAATGTACTGTAGTAAATTGTAATATAGGGGGAAGGGTGAGAAAAGAGGGGGTTTTTTCTTTGGCGGGAAAATGTAAGTAAATTGTTGTGGTGATTGTGAAAGGAAGAGGGAATCTTGAAAAGGGTAGAGGGTCCTAGGGAAGGGTAAAGGCTATTGTTTCAGAACTTTTAAGGGCTTGGAAGTTCTCATCTTAGTCAGATTTGTCTAACTAAGGTCCAATTGCTACTAGTTTTTACCCCATTCTACTTTTATGCTTTTTTTTATCTCACTCTCTTTCTTTTATATATATATGGGAGAGAGGAATATTTATGAAAAAAGTTACTATTTTAACATCAATTTTTTAAAACCTACATCGTATGGCATGTCACTATTCACAAATATGATATATAATAATATTGAAAATTTTGACTTTTTTATATATTTTTAAAACAATTTTAATTAATGGTGTGTAAAATTTAGTAAATACAATCAATAGTTTGTTTAATATATTTTAACGTTAAAAAATAATTATAAGTAGGAAATTGATTAATTGAGTGTAATAAGTTAATTAATATAATTTATAATATGGTTATCAAATATTCTGTTTTTTAAAAAAGAAAAAAAAAAGTCTGGTGCTAAATTAACTTTGTGGGTAATAATATGTATAAAGTTGATTAATAGAGTTCATAATTTTGTTAATGAATTTTGGAATATAAAAAAATTATAAATAGTAAAATAAAGTTGGTTAATAAAATATAAAGATTAGTTAATATATTTTATAATTTAATAATAAAAAGTTATTAATAATTTTTATTTTATTGGTTAATGAAATTATGAATGTGCTTAGTAAATTAAAACTAAAATAAGTGGTTAATAAATTATATTTTTATGATTAAAACAATGATGAAATTCATTTATGTCACAACTTCATATTTATGTTTTAAAATAATTTTTAAAACAAAAATATTTTTATAAAATAATATTTTTATTTTAAAAAAATTGCAAATATTAAAAAGGCTTCAAAACACTATTCACATTCATGGCATAAATAAGATGAACATTGTGTAGGTGTAAATATTTGTGTCATATTTTAGTGTGAATGTATCCCATAAATTTGCTATAATATGAGTTGTGCTACTTTTACACTACATTCCCATACACCGTATATAACAACTATATTATATGGCAAAATGTTCTGCCATGGAAAACAAAGTAGAATGAATTATCTAAAAAATAAAATCAGTAGACTTCATATATACCATTGCGGTGTAGTTTTTAGAAAATGGTTTCAATGTATCTTTTTCTTATAATATCTCATAAATTTGCTATAATATCATCTCAAAAATAACATAAATAATTTTAGTGAGGATATTTTAATTTAGAGCATCCTGATTATATATGTTGAAATGTCTGCGTCAATTTAAATGATTGAATTTAAAAGGATTTAATTAAGAGATTTATTATTCTACATTGTTAGTGTAAAAAATTTTATACTATTCATTCATCACCATTATCTTCATTATCTGTTAGTATTATTTTATAAATAATTAGAATAAAAGTCAAACTCTTCTCAACATTCAACGTTTATGATTAATAGACGATGTAAAATCTCTTTACACTCGCATTGTATTTCAATTAATTTCTTCAATTAATTAAAATATCTCTCATTTTTTAATATAATACTAATCTTAGGAATTTGTTAGTCCAGATTTGTTAGCATCCAAGTTCTTCCTCAGCAATGATGTGTTGTATAAAAGAAACCACGACATGGTTCTGCTTAGATGTGTTGGCAGACGTGAAGCAGACACGTTACTTCAAGAAATTCATGAGGGATCGTTTGGAACTCACACCAATGGTTATGCTATGTCAAAGAAAATTCGGAGAGTTGGGTATTATTGGTTAACCATGGAATCTGATTGCATCCAATATGCCAGAAAATGTCATAAGTGCCAAATTTATGCTGATAAGGTGCACGTATCTTCAGCTTTGTTGAATGTTTTATCAGCACCGTGGCCTTTCTCAATGTGTGGCCATTGATTATTTCACAAAATGGGTAGAAGCCGCTTCTTATGTCAATGTAACCAAGCAAGTGGTTGTCCGCTTCATTAAGAAAGAGATTATATGTCGTTATGAAATTCCAAGCCGAATCATAACAGATAATGGGACTAATTTGAACAATAAAACTATGAAGGAGTTGTGTGAAAGTTTCAAGATCGCGCACCATAATTCTTCTCCTTATCGTCCTAAAATGAATGGAGCTGTTGAAGTCGCGAATAAAAACATCAAGAAAATCTTGCAAAAGATGGTAAAGACTTATAAAGATTGACATGAAATATTATCATTTGCTCTGCACGGTTACATAACTTCAGTGCGAACTTCAACAGGGACAACCCCTTTTTCATTCGTGTATGTGGACGCGGTTCTTCCTATTGAAGTCGAGATACCTTTCTTGAGGGTATTGATGGAAACCAAGCTTAATGAAGCAGAATGGGTCTAAAAAATATTTTACCAGTTGAACCTTATAGATGAGAAGCGTATGACAGCCATGTGCCATGGTCAGTTGTACCATAAGCGGATGAAGATGGCATTTGACAAGAAGGTCTGAATTCGATACTACCAGCAACGCCGTCTACTCATGATGATCCTCCATTGTTTCAATGGCAGAGAGTTGCAAAGCATGTTCATAACGTCGGTAATGATGTTGGCAAGAAGAAAAGCATTCAAATACTTTCCAAAATATGCTGAAATAAAAGAGAAAAAGAATTAAATATAATGTCGAAACATGTTTCGAACACAAAAACTAAAAATCTTCATCATTCAAACCAAACATTCATGGAAAGTTTCACAATTTGACGAAGAGTTGAAAAAATTTATAGCATATTACCAACACAATCACATGAAGTTGGAAACCCATTCATCACACAATCGTGTTCATTTAACATCTACAAACATGATCGGACACAATTCCAAAAGGCAAATAACGTGTCTCAGAGCTGATTATCATCCTCAAGTATTTCCCAAAACAGTCCCAAACACAATCCAACCAAGAAGGAAATACACTCAATGTTAGCAAGAAACAAGTTTGGACATGTCATGATTAAAAAGGAAACAATTATCAACAGCCCATATGTTTTTCAAAACAAGTTTCGACATGAATTCAATTCAAATCATCATTCACCGAACATATAAAAAAGGGGTAATACCAACACAACAAGGGGACAAAATTCATGCTAGAAAAGTTAACCAGAAATTTTCAACATCAACATACCACTCGAACAGGGGAGAAGACAACAATCATAGGAAAGCTACCCAGAGAAGGGTCGCACGAATCACATTCATATTCATAGTTTCTGTTCTAAAAGCATAACCAGAGTAAGAAGAGTTCATACACACATCATTGAAAGAGAAACAGCATGGAAAAGGTAATGAACAACAACATATGATTCCTAAAAAAACACAAATTGCAGCAATAAAGTAAATCAACAACAGCAACACGCACAAGAATAACGGAAAAAAAGGAGAAGTATAATGAAATACCTTCAAAATTCACCGACGTCGTCGGGTCGCCGCGTCGAGGTTTTTCGAAACTTTCAAAGGTGCACAATCCTTTTGTTTAAATTCATGAAACTCTATTGAGTGTTTGCAGAACTTCGACTTTTTATCCTCAGTTCAAATTTTTTGAACACTTGTATGCGTAAGCAGTTGCCATCGCAAATCGATTAAACCGCGAGAGAGTTATGAAAGACTTCCACTGTTGGCGCGGTGGGTTCTTATCACCGACGCTGGAGCATCGCGATTGATCGGGGGAAACGGTGAAGTTTAGACGAAAGGGAGGGGAAAAGAAGGAGGAGAGAGAGAGAGAGGATTCTGATTCCTCATTTTATTGTTGATCTTTTATGTTATTGTTATTGGGCTCAGGTGGGTTTCATCACCACCGGCTCATTTCATTTTTTTTATGGTTCTATTATTTTTGTTTTTTTTTTTTTATTTTATCTATCATTTTTTTCTTGGGTTTAGATTTAAGCCCATCTATCCTTTTTTTAAAATTATATTTTTCATGTAGTTTTGTGAATCTAATAAGATAATCGGGTTCTATTTAATTTATTCGATGAAGATGGGAGGTTGATGTTTAATTTAAATTTACGATCAATCATAATTATTTTTTTGTTTAAGGTTGTGAAATTAACTTTGATTATTTGTGATAGAATTTTATTTGAATTGTGATTGACTCTTGCTATGATCTAGATGCATAATTGATGATATTTTGATTCCATGAGTTTGATGAATATTTTTTTTGCAAATGTTTACTGATTTATGTTAATCCACATGCTCCCCTTAGTTTTATTTCAATTATTTCTTTTGAATCAAGGTTTATTCCAGTTTTTTTGTCCTTAGCATTATAGCAATAAGATAGAACACCATCATTTCCAATGGAAAAGATCATGCTCATTGACTGCCATGTCACACGTAGCATAATTTTAGGTCCTTACCCGCAATCCTAGCCTTAGGATTTGGAGTCGCCGTACTCCACGTAAGTTCTTGCCATAGACACTTACTTATCTTTCCCTTTCAACTTAAAATTTAGATTTTGAGTCACCACACTCCGCGTAAGTGTCTCACTATAGACACTTACCTCCCCTTTGGAACCTTGACCATAGTCAGGAATTCCTCACCTTTATTGAGGGGAACTATGAATGCTCTGATTCCAGTCCCTTCAGGATACATAGACACGAGATGCGATGTCTTGGCAAGAATACCTAGAAATAACACTTTAGGTCTCCTTTCAACTCTTAAGTAGACATATAACAGATAACAAATAACACAGATACTAACAAGAGGTTCTTGTAAATTACTACAGATACTTAGGATGCTAACACCTTTCCTATGTATAACCAACCCCTGAACCTTAGATCTCTTGCATTATTTTTACAGTGCAATTAGGGTCTTCAATTTTTACCCTTTCCTTTGT